GAAATAAGTAAAAGATATATGAAAGAAATAAAATAAAACAAAATAAAACAAGTTAGTATTATTTAAAAAAAATCAAAATAAATATATATTTTTAATGGAGATGAAGGATGTAAGGAAGAAAGAAGAGATTTCAAAGGTAATAAAGATCAATTTTAGAACAAAATGAGAAAACTTACATTTTATGAAAAAAGTGAAAAGAAGAAAAAACTTTTTTAATGACTATCTATGAAAACAAAATGTAATTGAAATTTTGGTATGTTGATACATGGAGTACTCACATGAATGATTGTAACTCTTTTTCATGTTTAAATGAGATTTTCATTCTACCGTTATTTTTGGATATTTCTCTTTTATAAAAATGAGAGGTAAAGATGATATTAAAATTAAAACCAAGATTGATTTTGTGGAAATAATATATAATGTAATACATGATATTTAAAGTAACTTATTTAGTATAGGTAATTATAAGAAAAAAGTTATAATATTACTAATAAAAGAAGTATTTGTGAAATATATTCCATTAGAGGTGTTATTCTTGTTGTACATGAGTTTTAACAAGTTATTTCTAATAAGTCTAACTTGGTAGTCGAAATCAAAGACTCATCATGTCTATGACATATTCGTTATGGTCATTTGAGTTTTTGAGTATTAAAACTTCTCAATTAGAAGAACATGATTAAGTGAGTCCTTCAAATTTAATATCCTTATCAAGTGTGTGAGGATTGTATCGTTAGAAAATAATATTGTTCTCAATTTTCTAATAACAAGTCATGAAGAACAAAGAATGTGTTAAAATTGGTACACTTAGATATTTGTAGTCCAATAAATCCATCTTGTAATTGAAGCAAAAGTTATTTCATTATATTCACTAGTAGTTTTTTAAGGAAAACTTGGGTCTAGTTTTTACAAGTCAAATCTAAAGCATTATTTTCATTCAAGATTTTTAAAGCTCAAATTAAAAATGAGTTTGGGAAAACATTCACACCCTTCACATTAATGTTGGTGATGAGTATTGTTCAACAAATTTTGGACATTTTTGTGCAGAACATGATATATGAAGAGGGCTCATAATAGTCTATACACCACAACAAAACGGTGTATTTGGAATGAAGAATAAGACTATTTTGAATACGGTGCGGAGCTTATTAACTCAAGGAAAAGTTCCAAAAGAAATTTTGACGTTAAGCATTAAATTGGAGTGTTCATATTTTAAATAGAAATCCAACTTTTAATATTCAAAATATGACATTAGAAGAAGCATGGAGTGAGAGATTACCAGACGTGGAGCACTGTTGAATTATTGGCAAGCGTACCAAAATTATCAATCGCAGTATAGTATTTCGATTAAATAAAAGTCGATCCCACGAGGAACGGTTTCAATGGAAATTCTCAATTATGCTTACTAAGTAGATTAAAACAGATTGAGTTTTGCAAATAAGAGTTGAATTGAAATTAAATGACAACTGTAAATTGTTGAGAAAATATCAATTAAAGGTACTTAGGATTGACTTCCTTCCTTATCTCTCTTTTGTAATGACTATGTCAATTAAGAACGTCAATTAACCTAACAATGTTGATGTCACCTACTCAAATCATCCATGTTGATTCCTCACACATGAAATTCATAAGAAAACCTAATAAATGTTGATTCCTCACACAATTAACAGATTTTCCAGCATTAGGGTTAGGGTGTTAAGCAATTGATACATTCATTCCATTCAATGCAATTAACGTAACAAATATTCTTACCGTGATCTAGGGTTCAAGATATATTTTCCAATCATACCTCAAACAATAAAGAATAAATCATTCCAAAGCATAAAGGATAAGAATAACAACATCAAAGCATATATTAAGATCTCAAAATATCACCATGATACAAAAGAGTTCAAAGGAAGTACACCGAATCCTAAG